ATTCATTTTTAAAGAAGTTCTTGCCATTTCATCAAGGGCACTGCATACGAAATGTCCCCACTATCTGGCAGCAACATGCATTGCTACCAAATTAACTCCGATCTAGGAAAGCATCAGGTCACTATCGGAATGACGGTGCCGGTCACTTGATCTAGGGCTATATCATTTTCCCTTTTACATCTATGGAACAATATTTAATCATAGTAACTCCGTAGTTGGAAGTTGAGGGAAGAAAATGCAAGGAGTCTCTAATTTACTTTTCTCCACTTGTGTCATATCAACACGCGACTGGTGTTACCTCGGCATCGCTTGTGCAGCATATACCGTACTATAGTAGGATCAGATAACTCCGATAGGGAATGTAGTCTGATGCTCTCTAACGGGGTAATTCACAAAGGATAACATCTCATCCGAACAAAAACAGGACCCAGAGTCTATTATCCATATACCTATACTTTGTAGCTAGAGGCCCAGGAATACATGGCTGATCATTCATAAGTTCGAACAATAAATCCGGGATCAATTTTATTGACTGGGATCTATCCGCATATCGGCTGATCTGCACCATGTTGGTCATCTTTGGCACACACATAGTGGAGCCATGGTATGTTCGCAGCAAATCGGTATCTTTATTTTCTTCCTAGACAGATCATGAATATTCTGTGCTCTATTACAAAATATGATCAAAAGTACTCTTGCTTTACTTTATTGCTTCAACTATCCTATTCGTCATATTTATATCATGAGTGTTCGCAGTGGCCATCGCCATCTACTTATTGGGGCATCAAACTAAGAACATCCCGCTGATCTATTCCTGGTCTATAATCAAAGCACCAAAATGGACAGGCAACTCCTCGCCCCCACCCTCACTTGATGGCCGGGCAGCATAGAGACCAACCCACAAGTCCTTCACATTCTCCTCCTCAAAGACCCAAGTAACCTCCCGGATAGGGGACTTCTGCAGACCCTCAACAAGATAGATCCACAAACTGTTGTCCTTCTCCTTGACCAGTTCGATAGTTGCTGCGCCACCACCTGAAGGCACAGGAAGCAAGCTCCAGTCCGCCCAGTTGTCTTTGGCGACGACGCTGAGGTGGGGTCTGCCGTGGGTGAGCTCAATGCCGCTCTTCACCCACTTCTGCCCACCATCGGCGGTATTCAGGACGAGAATCACGCCGCCCTGGTCATAGTTCTTCTCCCAAAGGCCATTGAAGGCGACACGGATCCGCTTGAATGACTTCAGCGGGATAGACTTGTACAAGATCGGAGCCGAGAAGCGAAAGGTGGAGGGTGGCTTGGCCCATATATCTGTGGAAGCTGGTGCATTGATGACAAACTCTGCTGGAGGAGTGCCTGTGGCATCACTTGGTACTTTGGCATCTGAGTTGGCGAATTTAAATTGTGATTGCGACATGGTGGGCTGTGGAATGCGGGGAAACAGTATAATGTCAGATTAATGTCAGTCACCACGCCGCAAATATTTGGACAAGTGGGTAGATTTGAAGTGGGAGGTCGAGGATTTCAAAGTAAGTGAGCCCAGAGAGTAAGCGGAAAGATAAATGATTTCATCTGGGCGAACAGAACAGGCAGTGCCCCGACTTCAGCTACGTCACTACATACCGAAACTTCCATCAGAAAATCATGTTACACATTTGTTTTTACTAGAGTCACCTAAATGATGAAATGAGTAGAGAGATTATCAACTGAGCTATTACTTTCAATGTTTTATTTCCCTATTCAATCATATTCATTGAAGCGTATAGACATTTGAGCTCTATGTTGTACATCATGAACTTGCCCGTTGTCATCACGTGATTGGGTTGATGATGTAAGTTATCCATGGGGCCCCGGGCACCGGATCAAACAAGTTGCTTTTTGACTATCATAGATAATGGCTGCTGTGTGCCACATTATTGTATCGATTTGCAATTGAAGATAGTCCCAAGGGTTTATACCCGTTTGGAGACACGAACCACCATGACTGCACGATTACTTCATCCCGATGAATGGGAGCTTGCCTCACGGTCCTCAGTTGACTCGCAGGGGACGTTCAACCTCGACGAGGATGATTTTGAAGCACAAGTCCCTTCTTCATCCAAATTTGGCAAACGCCAGGGCGGCTGGCTCTCCCGAATCATCTCCTCGGCATCAGCAGGTTATCGCCGCCTGAACAACCCTTATAGACCGGCCCTCGCAGGCACACCACGACCGAGTTGCTCTCGACGTTTCTGTATTCGTCGCTGTTGCTACCTCCCCGTCGTCGCCGGAATAGTTTTCACCCTCGCGCTTTTCACCTCGATGCTCTTCCCATCATATACCCATCTCCCCCCACATTACTCTACACTTCGCAAATCACTCCTCGAGAGCTCATATCCCGGACGAGGCAATCCCCGGCAGGAAAAGGTCTTTATTGCAGCAAGTCTGTATGATAGTGGCGGTGAGCTTGCTCAGGGCCAATGGGGAACACAACTGCTAGAGTTGATTGATCTGCTTGGACCTGACAATGTGTTCCTGAGTATCTACGAGAATGACAGTGGCGAGGAGGGAGAGCGCGCATTGCGTGCGTTGGAGGAACAAGTGAAGTGCCAGAAATCCATTGTGTCTGAAAAGCACCTGGACCCGAAGACTATACCCACTGTGACAATTCCCGGTGGATCAAAACGAATCAAGCGCATCGAATATCTGGCCCAGGTTCGGAACCGAGCACTACAGCCATTGACCGACCACCCGGAGATGAAATTTGATAAGCTACTCTATCTGAACGACATCCTCTTCCACCCCGCCGAGGTTCCTCAGCTCTTATTCTCAACAAATGCCAACGAAGACGGTGTTGCCCAATACCGTGCAGCCTGTGCCGTAGACTTCGACAACCCTATCAAATTCTACGATACATATGCCACCCGCGATCTTGAAGGTTACAGTATGGGTCTCCCCTTCTACCCATGGTTCACGTCATCCGGCAAAGGTGAGAGCCGAAGTGATGTGCTGGCCGGCAAAGACGCAGTGCGAGTGCGCAGCTGCTGGGGCGGAATGGTGGCATTTGATGCCAAATACTTCCAAACCGGTTCGCCACCTACAACCCCCAACCCAGCACGCTTCCGCTCCGGGAAAGATCTCTTCTGGGAGGCGTCTGAATGCTGCCTCATCCACGCGGACATCCAAGACCCGCCAACCAACGTCGATGATATCACCGATACTGGTATCTACATGAACCCATTTGTGCGAACCGCCTATGACCACCGCACCCTCTCTTGGCTGGGAGTCACCCGCCGCTTCGAGGGACTGTACTCGTTCCTCCACAACCTAGGAAATCACCTTGTCGGTCTGCCTTGGGACAATCCCCGCCGCGCTGAAATCCCCGGTCAAACTGTGCAGGAGACTGTGTGGGTTCCGGATGCCACGCAGGAGGGTGGTTCTTTTAAAGTCGTTGATCGGGTTGCGGGCAATGATGGCTTCTGTGGTCGTCGTGGCCTTCAGGTCATCGTTGAAGACCGTAAGCCTGGGCAGAAAGGCTTCGAGAGTATTCCTATTCCGTCGTAGAAGCTTTAATGTTCTACAATCAGATACCCATTCTACTCATTCTTGTTATATATATTTGCTCATCTTTTGGTGTCTTCGGTGTATTGATAGTTCTGTTGGAGAGATCGTTAGGAACATCAAATAAATGAATAATATACCAATGTTTTTAATGTATACACCTCTTGAGGACCTGTGGATTTGATGAGAATTACCACTTTTGAGGTCAGAAATGGCTGCCCACTACGCTGGACCACCACTATTTGCACCCACCCAGTTGCATATAGTCCTTCTCCAGCCCTGTATAGGTAGCCATCTACTGTTACGGCTATAACCTCCCGGAAACAAAAGCATGCGATGTCTACGGAGCACTGCTGCAAACTCTCCAAGTAAGGCCTGTTCCGCGGGTAGCTACAAGGGCGAAATTATCCCTTTCCCCCGCATTTCCTACAAGATCCAAGGTATAAATAGTATGCCTAATAATTAGGTATACTAGCATAGTATCTAGGAGCTCGAAATACCTGTGGAACGTATCATGGCCATCATCTCAGAAGCGTTGATCTCAGTCTGGTCACATTTACCAGTCATCCTTGTCACTCTTGCTTTATTTCACCTCACTCGCAATTATCTCACCCCAGGAACAAGGTCAATTCCCGAACCATTATTGGCTAATATAACGAACCTTTGGAGGTTCATCGATGTTGCCAATGGCCGCACAGAAGTGACGCTAAAGCACGGGGATTATGTTCGACTAGGACCCAACGTGGTCAGTGTACGGAACTTGGATGCCTTGAAAACCATATATGGCATTAACAAAGGATATCAAAAGGTGAATTCCAACTATAACAACCGGTTGACCTTTCCGCTAACATCCGCAAGACAAATTTCTATTGTGTTCAGCAGTACACTATTCACTACAGCCGATGAAGCTTTCCATGCTGCTATTAAAAGACCTATCTCATCAGCTTACTCAATGAGTACTCTGACCGAATTCGAGGTCTCACAACTCCTCTAGGTAGTATAGCTTGATGAATAAGATATCTAAAACACAAATAGGTTGATAACAGCACAAGCTGTCTCTAGAAGAGCAAGAAAATGCACTGTTTGTCGGGAGATCTCTTTGTTAGGCATGCTGAGAACAATGTGAGTCTTTCTAGAGACCTGTTATAACTGTAAATGTCGAGACGTATAATCTGGGCCTCATGGGAATCACCCTGGGCCCTTCTATCTTTGGACTTGGTCTTCTTTTTAGCATTGTAGTAGACACCATGAGGAATGTCTACTGAGACAGAGTGTCTCAACGGACATCTAAAAAGGATCACAGTCGCAAAAGTTTTCTCACGAGGAAAGAGCCACCTGATCAACGCATGCCTTCCCAACTCGAACCCTTCTACGCCCGTCTATCTAGCAAATCATATTACTTTCCTCTTTCTCCCTCATCCTTCTTCTTCTTCTCCTCCATCTTCGTACTGTCTCATTTCATCATGGAGAAGCCTTTTGTTATTGGACCTAACGGTCTTGCCCCGATTTCTATCAAGCAACAGGCCAATTTTCGCATTACCACGAAGATAATCTACGACGTCATCTCCAGTTGCAAGATGATCAGCTTGAAGGAGAGCATTCATGCTCCGCTCGCTGTACGTAAAAAAGCCCGTGCAAACCGCCTCGGCGTGGAGACGGTGTCAGCTCAGCTGACTACTCGTCGTTCCGCTCAGCCTGGTGTCTCGGATGGCTTGCCTAGTCTTTATGATACCTCAAAGGGTCTTCAAAAGGCTATGCCGCTCGGAAAGGTATGTCGTATCCTTTCCTCCATCCATACCTTTACCTTTCCCATTGCATGTTCATGTTCTTTCTTTGACTCACTTCCGTTCTCTGTTCTTGTTTTGTTCATAGGTCCCTCCGATTTCTATCACTCTCTAGGATAAGGCTCATCTCTTTTCGTTACTTCTGTCTCACACTGATCTTTCATAGGAGAACAAGACTGCTACTGCTCCTGCCCCCACTGCTGCGCAGAAGAACCATGGAATTGATCCACGTGCCAAGCCATTTGTTCCTGTTGCTACCGAGTCTGCTGAACCCAAGGGCGAATTCGCTCATGTGCCTCTGAAGAGTGCACCCCGCAAGGCCACCACTGGACCCAAGGAAGACGCTGGAATCCATCGTGACACCGTCGATGATGTTTCTACCAAGGACCTCGCCGCTAAGAGCAAAAAGGCTGTTGGTACTTTTACCAAAGCTGGAGCCGGAAGCACTGATCCAGGCTACGAGTCCACCGCTGGTTCCAAGGCATCTCAGAAGGCCGAGTCTGTCGGGGATGAGGAGTCCACTGCCTCGTCCAAGAAGTTCAGGGGCCTGACTGACCCCGCCGATTTTATGAAGCAAGTCCGGCTGCTTCACATGCAGAAGGTGATGGCACCCAAGGTCGTTCCTACTGGACCGCCCCGTCGCATTGTCTTTGGAAATCTTCCCGAGTGGACTAATATTTCTGGAATTCTGCACCTTGTCTATGGCGGTGCTATTGAGCGCGCGTGGAGTGAGAATGGTGAAGTCATCGTGCAGTTTATTGGGCAAGGCGACTGCATCAAATATTATGAGAACCACTCTGATGGAATTAAGGTGAGCGATGGTGATGGCGAACTCACTATTTCGGTTACTATGCCTGAGGAGGGTTTGCAGGACAACGCTGAGCTTTCGAAGCGCGTCGAAGAGGGTGCGTCACGTGTTGTTTGTCTCTCTGGTCTACCCACTGGCTTCAAGACTAGCGACAACGAAGATATCCTGGGTATTACCTCCGATCCTACCTGGAGTAGCAAGTGCTTCGATCACATTCTGATCAAGCAGGCTGAGGTAAGTTTGCACGCCGGTGATTCTAGGTTTTGGGTTCCTACTAACATGTGTTTCCCAGTCTGGTGTTGATGTCTACATCTTCTTCTATGATCTCCATGGAGGTTGGGATTTCATGCAGAGCATCAAAGAGGGAGCGTACGACTGCATTGCCAGCTTCGAACCTGACCCGTAGGTTCCCAGTTCCCAGTTTGCCCAGATAGTTTCTTTACTGACTATTTATTCCAGATGCGCTCGTGCTGAGGGATTCCACTTTGTTGATGAGCCCAACCAAATGCTGTCTAACATTATCGTGGAGTAGATGGGTATGAGCTGAATATCCATCGACGGCCACAACCGCGTCGAGGGCCATCATGGCTATCGATTTGATGGCAGTGAAGAGGATCAGCCAAAAAGATGCTCCTCTGGATTAAGATCTTTTCTATCTGTTTTCGACGGGTTTTTCAAATAGTGAGTTTTCCTCTTGTTAGGACATGATTCTATCTACCATAGCCCAATCAAAGAAACACAAGTCGACATTCAATTGAGAACCTTGGCATGGAACACAGAAGCCACCGCAGATTGTAGAAGCCCGCATGCACGGTATATAGCAGCTGCTACAGTCGTAGGAGAAATCCAACATGGACATGCAGGTCTACCATGACAATGCCCGACATTGCACAACGTAGATTCCCAACACGCTCATCCTCGCACAACCTCAATGCTCGACAAACAAAATCCCCGACACCATAATTTAAAAGAAGTGACACGATACGCCAATGGATCACATAGTCCGTAGTCCGTATTCCGTACATCGCTAAGAATGAGTCCTGTCTAATTGGCGAATTTAGATTAAATTGGTCATGAACTATATCGGCATTTACAGTGCCCCTCTTGCCACTTGCGTCTTAGTGCTGATGAGATTCGACAGCGCGGAAGAGGGAGAGCAGTCAATTGGAGCCTTTATTGTGGAGTTCTAACTTTAGTGCGAACTATTGTGGATAGTCAACTAGCTTTTAGATAGTATACAATTCGGAAACATGCAAGTTGCCCCATGTGTAATACTCTGCAGAGTTGCCTTGTCGAGATTGGTTCCTGTATCACTGCAGGCTGTGTCACTTCTATCAACTGGACACTTCATATTGCCTATATTGTATAGTGTAAACTTGGGAAATATTCAATTCATTCCCTTGCAACATATTCCTAAATTATATTTACGGACCCCGGAAAAGCACGAGACACTATCATCAACATCCTATACTCTAAACATCCAAGCCTAGTCAATTTGCAGATTCTTCTAACCTATTTTGCATTTTAGATACATTTACTAAACACATTTGACTTATCAGCCCCTTTATTACACCTAGCCCCACCCAAAATAACCGAGAATACAATGCTCGAAAAACAATGAGGCTGAGACAACGGATCGGGATTTAAAGGAAACCCCCCCCCCCCCTTTATGGCGGGTCAGGTCCCAAACCCGAGCTAGGAATTGCATTGACGTTTTATTTTCGATCTTTGCACTGTTAATAGATAAGATTAAAAAAGGAAACAAAAGCAAGTAAAGCGGGACATGTCGGTTACGTATTGCCTAGACTCATCACAGTCAACTTTAGTACTTCGCGGATATACATGATTGTATTCCCATTAGACGCGTTTATCTACTAAATGGCTAGATATGAAAAATACAGCGAATTATCCGATTGAACCGAGCAATTGGCCCCCAATCTATATGGTATAGCACGGCACATAAGTACGGAGTACCATGTGCCAACAATGCAATCCTTCAGACTAGGCCCCTAACATCCCCATCGGCCCAGTCTTGCACGTATGCACACTTTGATCCAAAGACCCAAGATCTTCATACTTAATAGTACAGACACGGAGTACACTCTTGGCACGAAGGATTGCATGGGACCCCACGATCGACGGATCTGAGGTACCGGGCTGTGGATAAGTTCTTTTCTTAGCACGGTCTCTGGTCGGTTGTATTAACCGGCTGTACGGAGGACTAAAACGTGAATAATTAATTAATTTTTTTCAATCACGCAATAGCTATTATTGCTGCACATACATTTGAAAAACAAAAAACATTCCCAACGGGTCAAATCCAAGGGTTTCGGGTATCCTTCCTAGGCTGAAAGGTAAACCAGATGCGGACCATGTCGAGTATCGATTAAGGTGAGGAAGGGCCATGTGCATTGCTCAGGATTTGGAAGGATTATTTGCTTGGTATGCGTGAATGGGAAGGACAAAAGCAAGGGGATTTGTTTGAGGATGTTCAACGATCATGCAAATAGGAAAATTCAGCCCTGGAAAGATTTATGTGTGATGCGTCAGACCGGTAAAAGCTTGGAAAAGAAAGAAATGGGTTTGAAATTTAAATTCAACCTCAACTCTATAGTGATATCTAGATCTAATCCGAGTGATATTGACTCTCACAAGTATGGATTGCTCCATACAACATATTTGTAGAATATTATATAACCCAGAAACAGCCCGTGGATCTTGGGGAATGTAGTGTGAAGGCGAAAAAGAAAAACGACAGGAAGCCGAGTGGAAATAAATGAGAGAAGAAAGACAACAGACCTCCCACGCTGAACAAGAGGTATCTTAAAGACGAAGACCGACCCACGCAAAAAAACCAAAAAAAAAAAAACAAAACAAAGACAAATTGACCTCCCAGAACGTAGCCAGAACAAAGAATATTCAAATCCGTCGCAACGCAGGATCCCCTTCCTTCCTCATCCAAGGATACCAAACATTAGTATATTCCCGAACCCCAAACTTGGGCGCGGACCCATGATCCCCCGCCAACGCAGCAGTAGCACCCTCCCTCAAGAATTCCCCATCCCGCATCCGCCTCTGCTCACGGAGGGTAGGACACTTCTTCTCCTTGATGAAGCGGTAAAATTTGCACTGAATGCCCTGGAACCCACGTCTCTGACGGTCCGGGAACTGTCGATTGAAAGCCTCACGGACCTCCTTCCACTCCTGACACAAGTCAACACGGTGGTACCAGATGAAGTACATTTCCTCTTCCTCGTACTTTGGCCGAGGAGGCCGACGGCGGTCGCCGTTAGTCGAGGAAGAGCTTGAGACGCTAGAGAAGCGCTCACGGGATTGGTATGGGTCTGGCGAGGAGGGTGCCGAGAGCGAGCTTTGATTTGTGCTTCCGCTGGCGCGGTTGGCTGTGGCTGAGGGCCGGTATGTGAAGAACATTTGGTGGGATTGGGGTGGGTTTACGCTGTGGTGACTGGCGTTTGTGCTGCTGCTCTGGGTTGTTGCTGTGGTAGTGTTGGATAGTGCGCCTGGGCTGGTGTCGTGGTAGTTTCGGTTGTACCAGTAGTTTGGGCTTGGGGGGAAGCTTGGTGAGGGCTGATGGTAGCTGTGACGATGGGATGGGATTGTAGCGTGTTGGGTGCGTGGAGAGTCGTAGGAATCTCCATCACCTGGGTTGAGTAAAGCGTCGATTTTCATTTTGCTTTGTCGTTCTGATGGCAATGCGTATTCTGCTTGGGTTGCCATTTTGGATGTTCAAGATTATATAGAGACCGAGCTTCCAAGTTTTTGATAGTGGGGATATAGAGTTATATATCAAAGAGCCAAGTACAGAAAGGGAAGTATAAGTGGGCGGGCAAAGTTTATAGATCTCGGAACTCTAGAAAAAGAAAAGAAGCCTGGAGCACGCGGTCTTAAATGAAAAGCAAAATAGTCGCTGTTGGGTGTTCCTTTGGCCCCCCTGTATAGCTGTGTATCGCGGATACCAGGCTCCATATGCTAGCAGGGGTCTTTTTTTTTTTTTTCTTTTTCTTTTTTTTTTTTTCTTTTCTAGAGGATCGGTTCCACCCCCAGATAATTAAAAAAAAAAAAAAAAGAAAAAAGAATTTAAACCGGTGAACCGGACAGACTTCTCCGTTCACCTATATACTTTTAGTACTATTTTCGAATGTTGCCACTTAATTTGATATTGAAGATGTGGCAATCTTCGGTCTACTCCGATTTCTTTGACTTGACTAGAAAATTTTGTGTCTATACTAGTAGCTTCATCAACCTGTACTGCAAGTTACGAAACGGGGGCCGGTAATCAAAATTACCTTAGCGCCAAGGCGAAATTCAAGAATGACAAATATTAGAATATCAAGTACCTAAGTACCCGACATTAGAACGATTGCTACTTTGTATATCTCTCCATGAGTGCTTAGGTGATAGGCTCGAGATCAGGAACATATATTAGTTAATATATTAAACAAAAAATCAGGAGATGAAGAGATGAGATGAAATCGCGTGCATTCTCTGTTTTAGCGTCAGTGTCTCATTTGCACTGTCGAACGCTACCGTACCCATTCATGTGAGAAGTGGATATGTAATTGATACAGTCAGATGTCGACGGGTTTTTTTCCTTACTCTTTTCTTTTTTTTTTTCGAGGTCATGGAAGGGAAAAAAAAGACTGCAGAATTTAAGAGGAAAAAAAAACCCAACACAAACGCGCCGCGTCTATTGGTAGACGCAAAAGTCATCTGTTGCGACATACGCCATGGCCCTGGGATGTCGGGGCGAATGAGCGTGAAGAGCTAATGCAAGCTCAATTCGTCACTGCCAACACATTCAAGGCCAGCATGAGGTAAGAGACTGCTCTATAATGACATTGTATACAGATTCTGTAACAAACGGAATGTAGTCTACACCGAGATATAACCATGGTAGGGCCTTTAAATTCTAAACACCCGACGCGGGGGGAAATCCAATAGTAGCGTTAACTCGGCAGCAGCCGATAGAGGTTTCCGCAGTCAACTTGCATAAATCTGTGACGATGCATCTCTCTCCACTTACGGCCTTTAAATATTACTCGCGTGATAAATTTCCTATGCGCCATTTTTCCCTCGATCTGCGCCTTGACCAGGTCGATCGTCAGTCTGCAGCCGCCAACGGTTTCCTTGGATTTTCTTCACGATTTTACGTTTCAGAGGGGGGGGGATATATACAATATAGGCAGGTATAGGCAGGTCTATGTGGGTACAGGTATCATTGTATCAGGGTATCGGTATATAAATCTGTATCTAATCTCCTAAAGACATCCACGCAATCTCCTCAAATTGTGACAGAAGAAAAAAAAAGAGCGACCCAAAAAAAAGAGCAGAAACGTTGTGATATCTTTGCGGCGCAGTCAACTTGCGCAAGCGTAAAATCCGTCAATTAGGGCGCCATCCGTTCTGTATGGCCCGTTACTTCCGAGACCACTTGGCAAGCCTCTCCTCACAATCCTAGTCCCTGAAGCCCCCGATTCCGTGCAGATCGGATCAACATGGCTCCCCCCGGGG